TTTCTTTTTACCTAATTACCTAATTTTCCTATTGAGAAATCAAATTGCTTATTTTTTTTTTAATTTTTAGGTAATGGACATGGGAAGGTTCATAGATTTAGGAAGATATAAATTATTATGATCACATATCTACCAACTTTCGAATAATTATTCTAATAATTTTATATATATAAATATATATATTTTGGTAAATTAATAATTATATATTTGATTTAACTTATGAATGAACACACACATATATAAATATATATTTGAGTAATAACAATTTAAGATCACGTTAAGAATTGTTAGGAATTTCAAAAGATGTTAATAGCTTAAAAGCTGTACTTACCAAATAACAGAAAGAAAATAATAAAGAGTGAAAGAATTAGAATCGAAAAGAGTATTCATTTTCAAAAATCATACAAAATTATAAATGAGACTTTCATCTCACACATCTTCTAAGTGATCAAAATTAAAACTTATCTTTCTCTTTTTTTATTATTTTGCTTATGAGATAATTACAAGATAATATATATTTATAATTTTTAGTCTATTGACAATACACTATGACGTAACTGTTCGAACTCATAAATTTAAAAAAAAATAACATTCTCTTTTACTACTATTGAGATCACTCGATAGATTCAAATTGCAAAATAGTTAAAACACGTAAGACAATACAAATTTGATGTCAACGACAACCCTCGTTATATCCCTAACTCGTAAATTTTCAATTTGAGAACTCTAAATCTAATTTTTCAAATATGTGTACAGTCAATTTTGTTTTCCTTTAAAAGGAAAAGGGACTTCATACACGCACATTTTACATAGTTTAAGCATTGTTTTCGGCAAATTAGTCCGAAGGGATTGTTTTATTTGTTTATTTTCCCCTTCTGAGCCACTTTTTCTGAACATTTCTTATGAAAGTGTTGTAAAGCTGTGTGAGAGTTATTTTTAGCTAAATTAACAATTAATTCTTCTAAATTCTCTATTCTCTTTTAACCAACATCTCGAACCGTGGGGTATTGTCAACTGAAGCAAAGTAGATATTATTTTACTATTTTATTTGTTAAGAGGATTACAGAAATTTTATTTTATGTAGAGGCTTCGAATATAATTTTATTAATATCTTAATTAAAACTTTAATTTCTTAAAAAAAATCAACTTGTCAACCTAACTTGAGAAATGATTTTATTTTATTATTATCGCTTGATGATTCAGAAATAATTGTATTAACAAAGGATGATATGTTCTCTATAAATAACATTATCTTTAAATATATGTGAATTTATTCAAATAAAAAAATATAGCATATATTATTATAAAATTGAAAAAAAAATGCTAAAATAGATCGACCTACACCTGTTACGGTTATTCATTAATTCTCTTTAATGTTGTAAAATGACGAGTTTAAATTTTATGAATTCAATGAGGTTTTATTTTATCAATTAAACAGATTCTGTAAAATCTTCTTTATTGTATTGAAATTGTAAATAGTATATGTTCAAAAGATTCTTAATTATTTAACGATAAAAATTTATATATAAAAAAAAATATTTTAGTAAAATATCAATGATCATGACCATCAATTCACCATACCGATTAATCATAATTAAAGTTAATTTAATAGTTTTCTTTCAAGATTTAATTCAATATTTAACATCATTATTAAAAAATATTTTTAAATAATAAAATATGTATTTCCAATATAATATTATAAATTAAATATATATATATATATATATATATATATATATATATAATTATTAATAAAAAAAACATAAAATTGTTATCCTAATTGAAGTTCCCTGGAAAGTGGGAACAAAGTAGGAATGGGTAGGGGGAATATATGTAATAGTTATACTCAATAAACTAAGTTGTGGAGCGTACAAAATGTCGGTGTTATCAATTTATAAAACATTTTAGGCTAAATTTTGCGTTTAGTATTTTGAATTATCAGATCGTTTTAGTACCTACACTTTTAATTTTTTTAAAATCATATGTAAAGTTTAGTTTTTGTTTCATTTTAGTACCCATGTTCAAAATTCAACGTTAAGTTTTGAATTTTTTTTGAAAGTTTAGGTATTAAAACGGACCAAAACTGATAGTTTAGGTACTAAACACATTAAGTTCTTAACAGTAGAGTGCTAAAATGAAATAAAAACTAAACATTAGTTATAATTTTAAAAAAATTAAAAGCTTAGATACTAAAACAGACCAAAACTAATAATTTAAATATTAAACGCGAGATTAGAAGGGAAGCACAGATTGAGATACAAAGGCAAATGCCAGGAGAGTAGGCAAAGCAAATATACTAATTTGGGATGGTTAAGTGAGTTAACCAGTGCAATCGTCCTTGAAATTTTTTAATTTTCATAGAATTAAATTTTTTTAATACTTTTATTGATAATATATTTTTATCTCTAAAATTTTATAAGTTTATTTCTATTAAAATTTAATATATTTTTACTCTAAAAATAAATTTTTTTATCCATTCTTATACTAATTCATCATTGTCATGGAGGATTTACCTTTTTTTAGGATGGACATAATATTTTATGTTAGTAGAAATAAACTTCTAAAATATTAAGAAGAGACGAGCTTATAAAATTTTAAAAGATGAAAATATATTATCAATAGAAAATATGAAAAAAATTAAAATATATGATAATTTGAAATTTTTAAGAATGATGGCCTCGGTTACTCTCTTGTGTCCATCCCCGGCCTCGTTCATTGCCATATCTACAACTTTTAAAAATTAACTTCACGAAAATATTAAATTATAGTTTATAATTTTAATATTTTAACTAAATATTTAAAATACTATTATCTTATAAAAATATAGTTAACGTACGCAAATAATTTTTTGAAATTTATATGTACTTATTAAATTAAAAAATATTAAATAATTCTCTTATATTTTAAGGACATTACTTATTTTGATATGTTAGATACGAATTTTATATAGTAGGTATACATTTATTTAAAATTTGATCAAATAATTATTTAACTCATTGAACTTTTAAAAATTATAAAATGATCAATGTAACGTTTTAATAATTTGAAAAAAAAATTAATGACCATTTTGTAATGGTTCAGTTCACAAAATTTTAGACCCTTGAATTTCTGACCTATTCAAACATATATAAACTACTTTACTTCGACTAGATTGTGGTTTGTTCAAGTTTTGGATTCGATTTATGTTCTACTTTTATAGTATTATTAGTGATGGTAATTATTTTAGATTAAATATTTATGTTGATTAACTAATAATATTATAAAAGTAGATTGTGACGAAATCCTGAATTTGAGTAAGATATAAAAACCAAAATCGTATTATTTGATTCAGATCAACAAGAAAACACGTCTTCTCAACTTTTGAAACACTAAACTCAAATTCTAATGTGGACTCAGTGATGGACAAATTTAGATAAACGTCTTCTGCATCAGCGACTTGACCGTCCACTTCCATAAACAGTAATATTGTATCATCAAAGTTCCATAAATATCTCGTTGATTATGCTATCAAAGCAACATTAACACTGGAAATAAATCCTCCTTAAAGCCGAGTCATCATCATCGACAGGGATGGATTGAAATATTCATATAATTTAAATTTTCTTTTATATTTTTTATTGATAATCTAATTTTACATTTAAAAAATTTTAAACAGCTTTCTAATATTTTCTTACATAAAATCCTATGTCCCTCTTGATTATTGAATCCATTTACTAAAGGAACATATTAACCTCATTGGTTAAAGGGAACGAAGTTCTCTCTAAAGGTCATGGGTTCAAACAGTTACGTCCATAGATGTGTGCATTATCAATGGCTAAGAAATATTACGAACAAATACTATCTTGTAATCTCCTTATATTATTGAAAAAACAGTGGGAATGATTGTTTAAGATTTGGCATACCACCTTAGAAAAGATTGGGATTATTCGTTATTATTGATAAGCTTAGAATAGAATGCATTGATGCAACTTGAAAACTTTATAAGCAAGTTGCAAAGATTGTTGGGGATCTTTAGGCTAAGATTCCACGTACCTGTTTTGTTAATGGCTAACGCTTTTCGATTTCGTTGGTGGAGACTATATACCAACATTATTAAATAGATACGTTGAATCTTTTACTAGAAATCTATGCATGGGATAAGAAGAAGATATGGCTTGCACGAAATTGGATAGGACATACTAAGGGGATCTTAGTAGTAGACATCAATAGGATTACAAGTGGTGGTGCTGGATCCTATGCTTAAGAAGTTTGTTTCGTAGCATCCTTTGGTTCACATATATTTTATTGCCTGAACAAATTTGTAGTCATTTAAGATCAAAAACAATTTTAAATTTGGAAACCCAATTTCTCATGTCGAATCATTTTTTTGATGTATGCTACATACACAGATGAATCATAAAGCTCGACTATTAGATATTATAGCCACCATTTCATAGTCACTATGGATATTTTGGGAAGGTCCAAGAAATTATGTTAGTACATCAAGACAAGGTTATTTAAACAAACATTTTTTTAACTTAAATATTATATTAGGAAGATGAAACTTTAGATATACTTGTTAGAAATTTACATAAGCAAGATGTTAGATACAAAACTAGTTTGTTCTTGCTCTGTTTCTTTGGATTCAGATTATGGAATTGTATTATCAATCTATCCCAACCATTCTAACAAACCACAATGGTCTTCGTGTCATAAAAACGATATAACCTAAGCTCAATCTTAACTCCATTCCGCATCCAAATCCCATCATTGCAAATACAATGGTATTTTAAGGGCACAAGAGAAGGACTATTAAATTTGCAATGATGGGTTATGGATGTGGAGTGGTGCTAGGACTAAATCATGGTTATATTGTTTCCATAACCGAAGACCATGGTGGTTTATTAGGATGGTGGAGAGAGATTGGCAAATACAATTTCACAAACTGAATTCAAAGAAACAGTGCAGGAACAAACTATTTCTACATCCACCTTCTTGCATAGGTAAGTTTCTATCAAGTAATATCAAATCTTTCATCTTCATAATCTAATATAGAAGTTATAACATTTTACTCAAAAAAAGGAACAAAAAGTTGAAGCATCTTGTGTTTTCTTGATCTCTCATAGTGGCATTGGAACTTCAATCAATGCTTCAATTTCCATATCATTTTATGTGATCAAAAGGGAAGCCAAGGACATAACAAAAGTTCCTTCAGTTGGATCTGTATCCCGCACATGTAATTCTCCAGTCCCTATTTTCATATAAGCGACTCAGTTAAGGTCATTACATATTGTGATTCTAATCTTAGCTATTAATGGAGGAAAGGGCTGACTAATTAGAGGAAGGATGTTCGACAGACCATAAAATCAGGTGGTCGTGTGCTAAAAAACTGGGGGCAAAGGACCACCAATAATCAGATTATCTCCTACTATGAAATTTTATATTTACTATTAACTTTCGAAATTATTTAAATGGGGATTACACTAACCTATATGAACCCCATCACCATATCTAGCCATGACAAGCAACGTCCAATGAGGCTATTGCCAAAGACAGCCACAAAGATTTGGGCCATGGTTGAGTCAGATTCGGTCAGTTCTGCCACAACAGGCTGAATATGATCAGCTCTTTGCCAAATTCGATTTTAAAAGACCATCATGGTTGTTGATGATAACCGGAAAGAGCCTAGCTATAGCAGACAAACCGTCACCCACTTCTCTCTAATGAAACAGGGAAAAATGACACAAGGGCAAACAGAAATTATAAAATCCTTATATCCCCTTTGTACTATTCTATATCATGGTGATTAACTGTAATAATTTTCTCTAAGCTAACACGATTTGTAAATTTATTTTTTTTCTCGATTGGTGGTTAAAAACTTAAAATTGCCAGTTCAACCTTTTTCCAATAAATGACCAAGAGTAGAGAATATCGCACCACAATGTACGAGACACATACCTGACATGCACCAAGTATGCCGCACACTGTAATTGACCTTCTAGAGGCATGTCCTGAGAAGCCAAAAATCAAAACTTTGTAGTTGCACCGTGTTTGAGAAGTAAAATTTGTTACCGAGCAGCTAAGCATGAGAGCGGCAAAACAACCAGGGAATGCAACAGGAGCAAGATGGGCAGTAAGACTTCCATCATTTCAATGTTAAGAACTCCTTGACATTTCGTACGATTCCTTTATTATATGGATTTTTAAACCTCATCCCATGACAGTTCTCTCCTGGATGCAGTCAATTGAATAAAAATTAGAGAGAGAGAGAACATCATAAAACATAGATACCCAGAAATAAGAATTGTTCTAATAAAAATATATCACCTGGTAAAGATGAAGCATTAAGTTGGAACTCTGGATACTTCTTCCAGTTTACCTGCATATAATTAAATGAACAGCATTTATCATTTTTCTCTTATTACGTATATTGCAGATTAAATAAACTATTTCTAACAATTAACACAAAAAATAATTTAGTGGTTAGCAAAACTCGACTTAACTCGAAAAATCGATTTTTTTTCAATTTCGGGTTATTTGAGTCAACTTGAATTATCAATTCGAATTTCAAGTTCGGGTCGAGTTGAAATTTTGAATTACTCGGAAAAAACGAAAATTTGACAGTATTTGACGGGCATACGATTAAGTCCCTGATTTCATTATTCATTCAATTTCTCATTCATTTTAAGTCTATTTTTCACCAATTTGAATCACATGCTCCTAAACCATCGTAGAATACATATGCACCTTCAATTCCTCTTTTGATAACAATTTTTTATTTTTCAATTTAGTCCCTCAAGTTTTCATAATTTCCTTATTTCTTCAATTCATGCTTTATTTTAAGTTTGTTTTTACCAAATTTGAACCACATGCTCATATTCCATAATAGAATACCTATGTAACTTCAATTCTTTTTTTTCACTAAAAATATACTCTCTTTTTTATCTAGTTCCTTAACTTTGCATTTTACTTAATTTTGTCTTTTGATTACAATAGTTTGCAAATTCTTTCTTCTCATCAATTCCTTGACTCCTTTATACTCTCATCAATATTTTACTCTCAAAATACTTTCTTTAAAATATAATATTATGAATATATTTTATAATTTTAGATTGTATTTGATATATTAAATAACATTATAATGTGAAAAGAATATAAAATATATAAACTTGAATAACTTGACTCGAATTTCTTAAACTCAACTAAAAAAATTCAAGTTAAGTTTGAGTTGTAAAATATGACTCATCAACTCGAATAACTCAAAATTTTTTTACTCGACTCGATCGAACGCTCACCTCTAACTTAAAGAAATAATAGTTTATCCTTGGTCTAGCAGGGAACTTACCCACTCTTCGGTTCTGATATTGAAACATATGCAATAGACATGCCATATCAGAAATATCCCTGCATAGATATAAAATTCTTAAGTAATATATTTTAGGGAAATAAATACCAACAGATATACCTAGAGGATCCAGAAACAAGAACAAAATTAGAAGTCAAATGGTAGAAACCTGCCACAGCACTTGTAGAACACAAAAAGCAATGTGCTTCTTGCCATTACCAAAATGGAACCAGTCTATACCCAAAGCATGCAGAAGAGGCGGAAACATCAACATGTAAGCACTGATAACTAAAGAAAATATATTAGATAAACTATTAAAGCAATGACTTACCTCCATTCTCATTTCTTTCAAAACTTGAAATTTTGAGGTAACTGCAAATAAACATGTGTTTAAAAGAAAGTAAATAATTTGAGTAAAGTAAGCAAAAGAAATTCCTAAACTTCAGAAAGCATTGCAACATAAGCTACAAATCCAAATAAATCAGTGTTCATTAAATCAAGACTAAAGCTAGTAGATTAAGAATTCAGGTATAGTCAAGCTTATACTCACACTGGGAGGAGCAGAATACATAGGAAATTTCAGTAGTGATAAATCCAACAAGAAGAACAATAAAGATTACATAATTTTTCTGGCCTGCATGATGACACAAAAAAATCAACCACCAAGGAGGATTATATTTTGATAAGAATAATCGCATTAACAAAAGATAATTTACATTAGAAGAACAGGTTAAGAAGGTATAGAGAAATCAAAGAAACTTTAAAAAAACGTACTGCCAAAAACAAATTGAATTTTAGTACCAATACAGTTTCCAAAAGCAGGGCAGTGGTGGTCAAAACCCTGTATGCATGTCTTGCAGCTCTTACAGTATCTTACTCTCATTTGCAAAAGAGAACTCTGGAAGAGAATAAACAATTATATCAACAAAATTGAAAGGAAACAATACGTGATAGAACCAATTAGAAACAATTTCGAATGAGCTTGACAGGAAACTTTCTGTCTTAAATTCACTGGTAGAACCCAATAGGAGAAGTTGCACATTTCAAACAAACTTTACTTGGTAAATACGTCTTGAAACTTTAAGAAATTAGAGAATCCTAATCAGTTACATTAAGCCTTTTTTTCACCAATGTGCATGCAGCATGTTACTACTATTATTTCTTCCAGAATCACTTCACATGAATAACAACAAAAGAAACTGGACAACCTCATCGCGGGTTTGAACACCAAAAACAGAATTTTCATCAAGTTCATCCAAACAGAAGGGCTCGTGTGCCACAAAACCAGGATCCTTTCGCATGATCCTGCCGTTGGAAATAACATAATTAGCAGGTTTTATCAATGATCAGCAAAAGTTAGTAGAACAAACTTTGTATGCCACTAAGCAAGTTATGACTGTTGCAAAAGGCTAAATGAGGCAGAGAAAAACAACCTACATAAACCAATGATGAGCATAATCATCTCTCCATTGAACACAACGTCCATAACATTTGAAATCGCTGCAAACATGGAGCAAATAATAGGTTGTTATAAGACAAAAGGATGTTAATTTCCCCATTCCCATTTTGACAATCAAATTACTGGAAAATATCAAAAAAAAAATTATTAATAACTACCAAACTTCATCCACGATTTCAAATTAATGAAAACAAATGCTAAGCAATTGAGATTACACTTATGCCGATAGATCTATAATTGTTCCCCAAAAATCTGTGATGCAACAAAAGATATCCTGCGATTATAATTAACTTGAAAAATAGAGGGCAGCAAAGGTACCTTTTCGAACAATAGTAAGATAAACACCCCAAACAAAAAATACACTGAAGAAGACAAAAGCTGGAGCAGATGCACGGAATCCAAGGACCCGTCTACACCACCCTCCAGATCCCAGAACTATAAGCAAAATTAAAGCTGCAAAGAAAAGAGAGGTGTATTATTGACCTTCAGTAAAATCTATAATTTTGAATAGATCGCCATATGTTTTCGGGAGAGAAAATACCCGAGAGTGTAAGTTGAATGAAAAGAGGAGAAGAGGAGAAGAAGAGAGGAACCAAAACGAGAGCAAACTGGGTAAGCGAAACGGAGATACATGATATTGTACAACGACCAATCGATTTCGACGAAGCTAACATCTTCCTTCGATCGTATAATTGCGGCAGCGTCTCCATCTCTGTGAAAGTTGAAACCCTAATCAAAGACCAAATTTCAGATCTGATATGAAAAAGAGACGAGGGAAGAGGACATTTATGGTGGTCATCATTTCTTCTCCCTGCAACCCTATAATCAAATGAGTGAATAGCCCATTAACCAATAAAGTGAAATTTTATGAGCCCACTAAAAGTTAGACGATTTATATTAATATTTTATATAAAAAAATCTTTTTAAAAAATAGGTTTAATTTAAGAAATTAATAATGAATTTATGGTAATACCTAACTAAATTGATAATTTTATGGATTGTTTCGCTTTCTTGATGGCTAAAACGTTAGCAGCCTTGAAAGCTGCACGATAATATCAAACCCTTTTCTGTTTCTTTTTTCTACTATTCATTTTCATGTCATAATAATTATTTTACCAAAATATGTTAATTTTCCTTTCAATTATAATGCAACAGCTTTTGCGCAATCACCCAGCATCATCCTCTGCTACTCATCCGGAATTTAAATTACGATTGTTGTTATATTTTTAATTATAGGGTAATTATAGTAATGATCACTGAATTTTTTTAAAGCTTTCATTTAGGTCCTTCAATTTTTAAAACTTGCAATACAGTCCTCTAACATTTAGTCCGTTTGTAATATGGTCCCGACGTAATCGGCCATTTGACGCCGTTACACTGCCGTTAGTGTAATACCCCAAATATTGAATTAGGAATTTTATTGAAAGGATTTAAAAATATGAGGATGTATTCGAGTAAATAATAAAAGATGAGAAGGATCAGTAATAGTTTTTAGACTAAAGTGTATCACTTGATAAAGTAAGAGGCATTTTGGTCTTCTAAAAAGATAAAGGAATTTAAAAATATATCATAGTTAGGACTTTAAATAGGGGGAAAAGAGGAAAGTGAAGCATTTATTTTCTTCTTCTTCTCCTTCACGTGAGTGGTGTTATCCTCATGGTATAAGGTAAACTTCTATTAGCTAGTTCTTTCTTTAAATTATGGGTTGTTTTGGTAACATTAAGTGATATGTAAACTTAATGAAGGATTAAAAAAGGTTAAAATTATGAAATGGAGGAAATATGAGAAATTTTAGAAAATGGGTTTTGAAGTGATATGTTAAAATATAAGTGTTTATTGAGGTTTATTGGTAGAATTGACTTGTCATAGAGGTAAATGAGAGATTAGATGTATTAGATGGGATTAAGAACATATTAGAAAAAAATGGTTTGATTCTTAGAATTGAATGTTCTTGAATGATTTTAGATGTTTTAAGAGGATAAATGAAGGAATGTTAGTATGGATAGTTAAGGAAGAGTTTAATACTATTGTATGGGGTAAATATAACGAGAATTGACCACTTTGGGATGAAAATCGAGTTGAAAACTGAAAATTCTGGGTAGGGTTATAAGTACTGCTAAGAACAATACTGATATTATAGGCTAAAATGGGATGCAATACCTGAGTAGTATCGATATTGTTTGAATCAGTATCGATACCGACAAGGTAGTATCGATACCATGGTAAGAGTATAGATACCAAGCAACATCGAATCAAAAATTGGTATCGATATCAGAAGGGGGTATCGATACCATAGTATAGTACTATCGATACCATAGTATAGTAATATCGATACCATGATAAGGGTATCGATAATATAGAGCCAGAAAGGTTAAAAATAGGTTGATATTGTTATAGAAAGTTAATGATATGTCCTTTTGAGTATTGTTTAATTATAATGGTTAGAAAATATACTAACTTTGAGTATGATACATGTTTTAATGGATGCTTGAGTCAGATCGAAACCAAGCTTCCGAGTTAAGTAAAACAAAGGGTAAAGGCAAAGTACATGAGTAATCCGCCTTACACTTTGGATGCTTAGTAAGGAAAGTCAGGTGAGTGCATTTAAATATGTATGTATATGTTACGATAGACCTACTTGTATGGCTTATTAATGTAAATTGGTGATTTCCAAAGGGCACTAAATGTGCAAAATACAAGAAATCATTATAAGTGTATGAATTTTAGATAGGACGTTTCGTACGCTAAAATTTAAGAAATCATACTAAGTGTATGAATTTCAGATAAGGCGTTTTGTACGCTAAAATTTTAAGAAATCATACTAAGTGTATGAATTTCAGATAAGGCGTTTCGCTAAAATTTTAAGAAATCATACTAAGTGTATGAATTTCATATGGGGCGTTTCGTACGCTAAAATGTTAAGAAATCATACTAAGTGTATAAATTTCAGATAGGGCGTTTCGTACGCTAAAATGTTAAGAAATCGTACTAAGTGTATAAATTTCAGATAGTGTGTTTCGTATGCTAAAATGTTAAGAAATCGTACTAAGTGTATGAATTTCATATAGGGCGTTTCGTACGCTAAAATGTTAAGAAATCATACTAAGTGTATGAATTTCAGATAGGGCGTTTCGTATGGTAAAATGTTAAGAAGTCATACTAAGTGTACAAATTTCAGATTGGGCATTACGTATGCTAAAATGTTAAGAAATCATACTAAGCGTATGAATTTCAGATAGGGTATTTCGTACGCTAAAATGTTAAGAAATCATACTAAGTGTATGAATTTCAGATAGGGTGTTTCGTACGCTAAAATGATAAGGAAATCATACTAAGTGTATGAATTTCCATATAGGACACTTCGTGTGCTAACATGATAAGAAACATATGGGTATACACATAAGAACTACATAATAAGGAAATGGATCTTTTATTAGTAATGAGTATGCAAACCACATAGATTTTAGAAATGGTTGATAAATAATGATATTAACACTAGAGATGTAGATTATGGAATACTTACTGAAATGAAACATTCCGTGAAAAATGAAATTGTCAGAAGTTTATAATAAAAGGGTGAATTGTTGTAATTGTATTGGATGAGTAATTCAAGTAAATTATAGAAAGAAAATTGAGGTATTATTGCACTGACAATATGAGTATAAACCATAGAATGTATAATGATGGAAAGTGTTAATTGATATGATGAATATTAATATAGTAGAGATTGCTCTAAAATAAAAGATCAAGAGGCCTAACTGTGCATATGACAGAAATGTGTCATTTATGCCAGTTAGATGAAAGATTAAGTGTCTTTGAGGCCTAGCTGGGCATTTGACAGAAAAGTGTCAATTATGCCAGTTAGATGAACGATTAAGTACCGTTGAGTAAAAGAATAATGGCCTAGCTGTGCATTTGACAGAAAACTGTCAATTATGCCAGTTAGACAAACGTTAAACACTGATGAATAAGAGAATAAAGGAATTTTAATGTATTGTGATATGAAGGGATGATATATTTATATATTGTACAACAATGCATAATTGTATGAAAGGATGCCATAAATGAAATGTATAATAGTGTATCAAAGGCATGAAAGGATGCCATAAATGAAAGGTATAATAGTGTATAAAAGACATGTAAGGATGACATAATTGAAATGCATATAGGTGCATTATAATCATGAATGGATACTATTAATAAAAATAAAGAATAATGACTAAAGAGATAAATGGAAAAGAAAAATATAAAGGAAGATATGTACGCTAGGCATACGAAAATGAATTAAGAAAATGGTGAATGGAATAAGGTTTGAATCAGGAGGAGTATGGGATACTTAAAGAATATACGATTTAGTACGCAATAAATAAATGTGACATATTTATGTATATTTAAAGGTTACGTTACGATGTTGTGTTTCACTAAGTAATTACTTAAAGTGTGATTTCACGCGTAGGTAAAGGCAAAGATTAGTGCATAAAGAGTGTAGCAGTATCAGCAATTTTCATCAATTAAAGATTGACTCATCAGTAATATTATGACAATCTTATTCAATTTAAGAACTTAGCTGGCATGTAATTAAACTATGATAAAGGTTAATCAAATTGAAACAAATTTTTAAGGGTTTTCAAATTATAAACATTATTCTAAAAGTGATGTGACATCTATATCTCGTGTACGGAAGGGTATACAGAAGATGGGTGTTATAGTTAGTACGTTTGCAATATGGTCACTGAACTTTTCAGGCGCTTGCATTTAGGTCCCCCAACTTTTAAAACTTGCAACAGAGTCCTCAATTTCATTATAAACCCCGAATTCTTTTTTCGATCTCAAATTTCCTTTTTCGTTTCTCTCTTCTCATTTTCATCGTAACTTTTCAGTCGGGGATGCATGAGAAATTCTAATCTTACTTTGAATTATGTGGAAGTATTGACTTGAATAAGGGTTCATTGAGAGAAGACCCGACCAAGGGACTATCGGGACCATCAACGATTTAAAGTGTAATGTTAGATACATATCATCTCAGGTGAAGCATAGATGTTCGATGAAATGCTTATGAGAAAAAATGGGGTTAGAAATGCAGAGTTGAAAAATACTACTAAGATAAATTAAGTATCATTGTTGAAACTCATCAACAAAGCTGTAATTATTTTGTATAAATGACATATAATAATTTCTTCGTTTAATCATTGTGGTTAAAGATTTTCCAACAGATTATCAAATATAATGAAATCTCAAACAGCGCACTCACCTCTCAGTCTCTTTCCCTCACATGAACTCTTGTTTGGTTTTTTTTCTTCAATTTTTCCTCCATGTAAAATTGTAAACCCAAGCAGTGCTATGTCTTTCAGCTTTTTATTTACAAAGAAAAAATGGAGGAAGAATTGATGGAACACAACACCGATTGCGTTTATTTATTAGCATCTCCCCTTACTTGCAAGAAGGTATTTATTTTTTTTTTGGGGTGTCTGAATTAAGCTTTTCCTCTTTCGCACTTTCCCATTTTCAGCTCGTATTGTGTGTTTTTTGTTGAAATTTTTATGTTTCTGGAACTACATGTCAATGATTTGGATACCAATGTTAGTTTAAAACCAAAACCATCTATTTTTCTTTCTTTCTTCTTAATCAAAACTTTTAGTACTCTTTATGAAAGAAATTTCCAAAACGTGTAAAAAAATTCAAATTCGTTCATAATATATCAGTCCCATAATCAACATGAACTTATTAAAAATAATACGAGCTCATAGGACGCTGAAAACCACAGGTCAGATCAATACAATTCCAGTAAACTAGTAC